TCTTTTCCTTTGACATTGTTGTCTTACCATTGATTTGGTAAGCAACCCTATCTTTGGATGTAAACAGGACGGGCGTGGGTCATCGTATAACCATGATTAGCAATGTTACAAGGTATCTTAGTATTATTTTGGATGGACTAAGATCATTTGTAAGGCAACTTAGATAGCATCATCGAGGGACTATGATCTTGTATTTGCTTGTTTTGGCTAAGATACCTTACATGCGTAATATGGCCATTTTGTATAAGGCAGCCAAGTGGAATAACCCTAGGGGTGTTTGTGTGCAAAAGGCATTGTTTTCATGCTTGATTTAGTCTTGAATTAGGGTTTGCTATTTATTGGTTTTAAGTCTTTCCATACAAACCCTAATTACTAGCATGTTATATAAAAGCAATAAATTGCGAAATTTAAAGTTACTACGCTATTACAACATTTGCGGAGAAGGGGGTATACAATTTGTAAATAGGGGTTGCAAGAATTTAAACATAACTAGTCTATTACAACCATATTGAATTTTCATGAATATACATGGAATTTAAATACAAAGTATAAAAATGAATAAATGTACAAGGATGCAAAATATGAAGAAAATGAATTTTGTTTGGTTTTCATAAAAAAATGATTTTGTCTTAACCTAATTTAAATAAAGAAAATAGTTAATTAAGTTTGAATTTATTAAGGAATTTTTTTTAAAATAAACCCCTAATTCTATTAATTAATCAAAAGAAAATTAAGTTTAAGAAAAGTATATATTCTTTGGTATTTTTTTATCTTGAAAATATTTGTAGTATTGTAAAATATTGTTAGTCCTTTTTTATATTAGAATAATGTATTTTAAATGGTGTGAAGAAAAATAAATAAAAAATATAATATTAATTAAGTTTATAAAATCTACTTAATAAAATTAATGAAGTATAAAATTATTTTTATTTATGGAAAAAAAATAAAATAAAATATGTCAAAATAAGAATATATAATTTTTTTTGTATTTTTATGATTGTTTAATATTAGAAAAATAATTTAAGAAAATAATAAAAATGAAAATAAGAAAAGAAAATAAAATTGGACCAGGGGTGTCAATGGGAAATAGGGAGGTCAACTAGCAAAAAATAAAATGAGTCAGGCCCAAAGGGCCTAGCGCCTGCCAAACAAAAAAAAGGGTCAGAATTGTGAAAATATGAAGAAAAAAATGCAAAAGGTACCACTGGGGCTCGAACCCAGGTCCCAAAGGTTATAGGCGCGCGCTTCTACCACTGTAAATATATAAAAAAATGAAACAATAAATATGTAAGGCAAAACATGTTCTGAAGACTTCATCTTCATCCTCCAGCCATACCAACTGTAACTTGCTCATTTCTCATAAAAAATGAAAACTGTAAACATGAAACTTGTAGCAAATCTTTCCACGATTCCAGAAATGTAAAGTGTTAAAACTATAGATCAAAGATAAGCAATAATTTTAATGGCCCTAATCTGAACCCTAAAAATTTCAGAGATTTCAGTTTTAAAATTCTCTAAGCTCAAGCAAAATTAATGGAAACTATGGACATGGTTAGCTTCAGGGCAATGATATCTACATGTTTTATTCACAAATAAACTATTGATGGTGCTTGTATGAAGATTTCCAAGTTGAGAAAACTTACCTCAAAACTGGAAATCGTGTTTGGAGTTTGAGCTTGTTTCAAGTGATTGTGTTGATCAAGTTAGCTTCCTTGAGGTCCTAGGAAGCTAATGCAATGGTTTGCTTGAGTTGAGAGTGGTTGAAATGACTTGGAGAAGTCCAACTGTAATGCTCTATTTTTGGCTATGGAAGTTGAGGAAGATGATGTTACAGTCGTGTAACAAGGACAGGGGCAAGTTATATTTGATGTATATGAACTTTAGGAACTAAAAGGCCAAAGAACGCATGAGGGAAATATAAGATACAAGTTCAAGGTCAGAACCTGCACAAAAATGGAGTTTTCTGTGCAAATTCTGGCTAGAGGGATTTTGAGAGAGTTTCAGGCTTGCCAAAATCATATCTTGTGTTGCAATTGACTTGTTAATATGTATGGAAAATATTAGAGCATAAAATCACTCCAAGTTTCTGAGTTATAGGGTTATGGCTCTATAACTTGCTTTTTAAGAAAAGTGAAATGACAAATCTCAAGTATTATACAAGCATATTCTGAGCTTCTTGAGACCTTAGACACATTGCTTTTGGTTTATATGGGTTGTGTGTGCAGAAAGAACAAGTTAGAAGCTCAAGACAAGTTGACTTTGTGATTAAAGCAACTTTTCAAGAATGGAATGGTAGCTTTCTTCTTAAAATGGAAAATTGGCTTTGACAATGCTTGGAACACTTGGATAATAGATCAAAAGCAAGTGTAATCTTCTGATTATGGATAGATCTTGAGGTTTAGAGGCCTGCAAAACAAGATTGTGCAGCATAGGTTTGAAATTGACTTCTTGTTCATCACAAAATGGCTTGTAAATTAAGTGACAAAACCCTAACTTCATCTCTTCGATTCTCCCTACTCAAGAATGATCTCAAGCATTTCTGGGACATTTTCGAAAGCTTGTAACATTATCTACAACCCTTCTTTGAATTTCTTTTGAAGATTCCACTTTGAACTATGTGAAAAAGTGTCATGAAGTTAGGTCAAAATCCTGTCCAAATTAGGGCAAAATTTCATTAAGTCTTTTGTTTCATGACCCTATGTTCATAAAATTGTAACTTGAGATCCAAGCATTTTTGGAAGAAGTTGTGTGAAGAGAAGTTGTATATTTCATGAAGATCTATAACTTTCATGTTGGAAGTTTCTATTGAATCGTCTTGCATCATGGTGAAAATATGGCTCAAAGTTATGAAAAAATAAGAAATTTTCCATACTTAGAAAAAATTTTAAGTTAAGAAATTTTAACATTTCAAGATGAAATCTTGAATTCTTGATTTCTTGATGAACAAGTTTCATATTTTGACATGTTTTGATGAATTGATCTTTGGCACTTGAATTTGACCAAAAAGTCAAAGTTTGACTTTTCAATATACAGTTGACTTTTGATCAGTTGACTGAAAAATTCATTTGTCAATCCAATGGACTTGCAATGTTTTGAACCATGTCATTACGTCAAAATGATGAAATTGGACTCTTGAGATCATGCCTTAAACCAATTGACCATTTACTAGATCAAAAATCCGAAATTGCCCATTCTCAGTCAAAACCCTAATTTTGACCATTTTGCCCTTTTGGAGATTTGATGAAATTTCTTGAAGAGTTGTGGTCCAAACTTGATCAAATGATACATATAAGTTTAAAATGTTGATATGGATCAAAAGTTAAGAAGTTTGACTGTAAATTGACCATAGTTGACTTTTTCCCCAATACAACTGATTTTTAGGTCAACTGCTCAATTGACTGAGCAAAAATATGATTCAAGGCTTGAAAATTGACATGAGTAATCTTGGGGGTCCATAATGATCCATGAAAATCATATGGGGAATTGGAAGTTCAAAAATCTTTGTGCAATCTCAAACCCTAATTTTGGTCATCAATGCTTAAGGAGATGTCTTGAGCTGATCCACCCTAGTGCAGTCTTGGGTCAAAGGAGATCTTGTGAGAAAAATCTTGATAAGTGAGAGTGAAAATTTTGTGGTACAACATGAATCATTGCATAGCAAGTGTTCACGAGTGGTTTGACCTATTTTTTTACCAATTCTCAAGACAGATTTCAAAAATTCATAACTTCTCCAAATGTCGATATTTTTGAGCGTTTGTTTTTGCATATGATTCTCCTTGACGTCATCTACATCTCTTCTTTATAAGTCGAGAGCTGATTATACTAAAAAAAGGCACGAAAAAATGGAAACATTAAAGGTTATTTTGAGAATTGAGTGAATTTGGAATTAATTTCAATTGTGTTTTGTCTGACGTTATAAAATCATACATTTTTGCACCTTTCTTCTTCTCTTAGTCATCACTTCTTTTTTCATTATAAAAAAATTCAAAAAAATATTTAGTTCGTGCCATGTTCATCTTTATTTGCATTTTTAATTAAAAAAATATATAAAAAATTGGTATTTTATTAGTTTTATTTAAATTTATATGTTTATATTACTTTATTTGAAAAAATATATATAGATTAGTTTCATGATAAATTTATTTTTTTATCTTTGCATTCTAATTTTAAATTTTTTCTTTTTTACTTCTATTTTGTATTTTTAGTTTAATCATCTTTTTATTATTGTCACTAACAATTGTTCTTTTTTATTGTTATTTTTATTATTATTATTATTATTACTTTTGTTGTATTTTGTCTTATATGTAAAAAAATAGAGAGAAAAAAGAGAAAGCTTTTGGAGGATCCGCAAAGTTGATAGCAAAGTTTCACCAAAATGATAACTTGCATAGGACCACCAATATTGCATTCACATTTTCATGTTGCAGCAAGTTGAAATTCACAATTCAAACCAACAAACTCATCCCAAAAAGTAGCATGCTATACCAGTCCATATACATACAAAAAACTGCTCCTAAACCTGTCCAAATGCACAAAAATGCCAAACTTTGCACCAATTTAACAAGAACATCAACCTACCTCAAAGGCGATAAAACAGAGCACTCCATTTGTTCAAACTTTCCCCCAAAATGCAGATTCCCAAGCTATAAATAAGAGAGGTTTCAGACCAAGAATCAAACACATAAATACTACCAGCTTTGTTCAAATATACATTTCTCTCTCCCATAATTGTTGGAAAAAATCTAAGAAAAATAAGAAAGGACGCAACATGGGTTTTGGCTTTCTTCTTCACGAGGTCCTCACCTAAATGTTGCATGAAGTCAACGTTCTCATTTTTTTTTCTCTCACAGCAAAACTATCCCACACACATCTTCCATTATTCAACATAACAACACCAGAAACCACCATAACCTAATTCCTCAACCTCCACATTTTCGGCCACAGCGGTACCTCGGCCATGTTCATGACCTACAGATAGCAAATAGGGTTCCAACAAAAAAATGACAACCAACAACCCCATAATCAAATTTCCAGTTAGTCTACTTGATTTTCTGCGCCTAAAGAATGCTTTTAACTATTTACCCTTTTTGATTGTTGTTGTTCACACGTTATTGTTACTGAATCAGTTGACTTATAACTTAGGGTCCCTAGTTTACTCTTTTGATTTTTATAAATCTTGTTTGATCTATTGTTGGTTTGAAGTGAAGAACCAAGTGAACTGAGCATAGAGAAATTGAGAAGAGTGTTTGTTGTTTTTGTAAAATCGTGGAAACGTGTGGTGAGAGGAGGAGATTTATGTTGTTATTGTTGTCTATTTTTTTTAGAGAAGAATAATTGTTGTTATTGGTTTACAAACGGAGAAATGAACATAGACCATTCTTCGTTCTCTTAAGAAGTAGTTGAGAAGAAGATTGGCTGAGATGAGAGAAGAATAGAGAAGATAATGTGAAAAAAACAAAAACTTGAAATAGAGGAAATAATGTAAGCGGCTACTAGGGTTCATTATTTGAACCGTGTATGTGTTTAGAGAAATCTGGGTCCGGACCCGACCCGGTCCGACCTAGTATGTTATATATTTATATATTTTAAATTTATTTATTTACTTTTTTCTGATCTTTTTATATCAATTGCCATGTTTTTTCTATATTCTTTTGTTAATAGGCCCAACGAATTTTATTGTGTATATTCCCTGCTCTACTTAACACCACCCTTTGTTAATTAGTTTTGTTTTTTTATTGATAGTTAGTTAGTAGTTTTAAAATTAATTAAGTAGTCACATAGTTTTAGATTAACCCCAATCAATTAGCTTAGTTTTAATAATTTAATTAAATCTTGATATTTAATTTTAGTTTGGTTATCCTTTTTTTTTTTGCTTAGTTAATTTTGTTTGTCCTTTTAAATAGTCTTTTATTGATAAATTTATAATTTTAATATTTTTTGTTATCTATTTGAATTTATTGCCTCATGATATCCCTCTCATGATATATGTTTGTTGAGTTTGTGATAATTTCTATTTAATCCCATGACTCCTCTCTTGGTTTTCTTGTGAGATATTAGAGTACTTATACTTTTGGTTATAATCTTCTTATTGCTTGCAAAATCCAATAGAAATGATTGATCAATTGACTTCATGTCATTACGTGTGTCTTTTATGTGATTGTGTGATTCCTTTATCTATCTTTAATTTTGTTAATCTTAAGTTATATCTCCTAAAAACCCCAACTTTCAAACTTACACCTCTTTCATAGAAACTTTGACATTAGGTTATCGCATTTCCAAAATTTATTTTATTTAATAAACATTTCAAGACATCTTAAGCATATTAAACTCTTTTCACAAAAAACAATAAAAAATACTTCTCTTCTCATCTCCACACTCTTTTAGCAAACACCCAATTTTAGCTAAAAAAACGTAGATACAAATATTTTAAGAGGTTCCTATAGAGTAGTATAGATACATAAGGTGCTAATACATTCCCTTTGTATAACCAATCCTCTTACCTTAGATATATTTAATGCATTCTTCTTACTTTACTTTTAGTTTTGCTTTTTCTTTGCATATTTGTTTTTGGGTTTTATTTCGCTTTTTCCCATTCCCTTGGAAATAATAAAGCGCAGTGGCGACTTTTATTGTAATGAGTCAAGTTAATTAATGACTTGATCTCAATTTTTCACCGCTAAAGAAATGGAGACTCTGCTGGTGACAAATCTCTAAATGGGTTAAGCCTAACTTGTTATATTTGCGTTTATGTTATTGTTATTTGTTTGTTATTTCCTGTTTGTTAGGTGTTGGTGATCTTTGCTAGTATAAGTCCTATACCCTAACTAAGTTACACTTAGGATTAGGAGGGGGTATAGTCTTGTTGACATGTCTGGAGTAGTACTAAGCATGTTGGCATGAGATCCCTTGCTTGGTAGAGGCCCTTTTGAGGGTGATAATGTTAAACAAGTCAATTGTGCGACATTATCACTTTTTAACCTAGGAGCTTGAGAAACTGAGGACCATAGAACCCTTAACCCATCTTGGCCTTTTAGGACGTAGTGCGATGACTATCCAGGAGCAGTCCTGAAATATTTGATATGTGATGATACACTCAGACGAGTTTCTCTTAAATATATTATTGGTTTCCGAGCAACCGGTAGACCGATAATATCCGAAAGAGGAAGCACGACTCTGGAAACTTTTAGAAACTTGTTCTACAGGTGATAAACCCCTAGTACATACCTTGTGGTTGGTTCTTACTCGTGACTCCATGCTCGTGACATTGAACCTTGTTTTTGATTTTGTTTATGATTGTTGCATAACCATCCATTCATGCACTCATGAAACTTTATCACCTGGTTTTCAAGGAATTTAGAGGCCTTTATTTATAAACATCATAAGTTTCATCAAACTCAATGGACCTTGGGTGTTGATGGAGTGAAAACCCTAATCCACCGAAATGGATGATTGATTTTGATGATAACTTGATCAACGCTTTGATCCAATTTAGGATTTAGTTTCTTCATGATTTGATGTTTACAATTTAATATCTTGAGTTCTTTGAAATTCAAATAAAAACCAACATTTGCATCCTTTGCATAAATCAAGCATACATCTAGGTTGTCCAAGAAATTCATTCCAGTTTTCTCTTTATTCAGTTGTTTGTTTACCGTCAAACTTGTTCCTCAACACTTTGGATTGGAAGCATGTTTCAGAAAACAATGGAAGAACTTCAACGAGACCAAGAGCTGTTAAGGGAGGAGGTCAACCGGTTGAAGTTCCAGATGCACCAGATTATAGGAATCCTGCAAGTCTTGTTGAAAATTGAAGGCAATCCTCCACTGACCGCTACAATGCAAGTGGATACTTCTCTAACCTCATCTATTGTTCCTTCAGCTCAGGGGAAACACCATTCAGTGATTACTCATGTACCTATGTATGGTCTATCCCCAGAGGATCTTCGTAACATGTGTTTGTGAAGCTTACTAACTACATACTTCATACACCCTTCTGCAACACGTCTGGATCCCTGAACTAGATAATGACAAAAATAAGGTGGTCAGTAATACCATTGAATCAGTTTAGAAGAATCAAGTGTTCACCTCAAAGTTAGGAAAAAGAAAAGTTGATAAAGTAGTAATGAGATCCTTGATAGAAAAGAAGATTACAAGCACTTACACAGGGCAGCCACCAAGTATGCTTCCCAAGGCTCTACATCAACAGCCAATGTTTGTTCCTCCCTGAAACAACCTAAATTAGATTCATAATAGGGTTAAATTTGATCCTATTCCCATGACTTAAGTTGAGTTGTATCCATCTTTGGTCCTGAAAGGGTTGATTACAACTAGGGTTATGCCTCCTCCTCCAGATATTCTCCCAGAAGGTTTTAGATCTGATCTTCAATACCCTTTCCATCAAGGTGCAGTAGGCCATGATTTGGAAAGATTTTCCTCTAAAGGAAATAGTCAAGAGTTGGTTAGGTCGAATATTCTTTCTTTCAAGGATGCAAATCCCAATGTTATCGATAATCCTTTGTCAGGCCATGCCAAGTGAAGCTTCGGTTGGTTCAGGCCAGTTTCTCCTCAGCAAACATTTCAACAAGGACAACTCATCCTGCTTTTGATTATTTCTCTAGACCTTGTTTCATTTCTGTTTGTACTTTCCATTCGACTATGTTAAATTGCTTGCCTTTTAAATTGTATGTTCTTTGTTTTATCAATTTTAATGAAATGAGCATTTTGCATCCTTGAATCAATTTATGGTTTCAATTACTGCTTTTGTATATCCATTGTTTTAATTTATTTATTAAACTTTTGTTTATGCAAATATTGGAGGGTGGATGATGAAAATGAAATACCCAAATTGTTGTATATTATGCTTTCAATTAAAACTTTGCCGATGATGTAAGGCATTGTTTAAATTCCTAAAACACTTGAGAAATAAGGAAGTTAATCCCTTGTCAACCCCTTTGAGATTATAAGTTGAAGTTTCTTCCTATATGAAAAATCCATAATCTTAACCTGGGGCAGGGTAGTTTCTCAATTAACTTAACTATGTGTTCAATTACAAGAGAATTTTACAAGGAACTTTTCAATAAAGGATTGCAATCACAAGCTTTCCCTTGCATACATCAAATAAGTGTCGAAGATGTCTCTCAAATTAAAATCCAATGATGGTTCACCATAATCATTAAGCCGGGCAGTCATTATCTTTCCAAAATAAAATGAAATGAAAAACCAAAGAAAATCCCGCTAAGCCAAAATCTGTTAAGGAGACTTAGGAAAAATTGGGGCATCCCGCTGATTGTAAACTCAAAATGAAACCATTCAGGTAAAATTTAGGGATAATAAAAAATCAATAGAAATCACTAAGATATAAGTGACTTCTATCTCAAGAATCCCTTGGCTTCTGAGCCATCATCATCATAACAAAGTTGCAATTCCAAAATCTCTTGGAACCTGAATGCATAGGTTAATTTAACTAAACATAATACTGAAGATCATCATGAAGAATGGGGTGGGTATAATTATACTTTGATCCCATATCCTTTGTTTCTGAAACCATGAACCAGACCATGTTACAACCCTCGAAAGACCTAATTAAAGCTAGGTTACTTCTGAAAGCATACTACAGCAAGGTTGCGTCAACTGACTCCCAATTCCACTAATATTTTGCTCTTGGTATTATGCCTTTGCTTTACCCTTTACTTTAAACTATTGTTCTTTAACCAGTGATCCCTTGGTTTATCTCTTAATTAAAATGTTAAAACCACTTTGTTTTAGCCAGTGAACTCTTTTCTCTTATGATGTCTTTCTAATAATAATTTTGATTTTAATCTTTTGCATGAGCTTTAAATTTAAATTACCATTTTTTAATGAACAATTTTATTTGCAAACATGTTTTCCTCATCAAGTAATTTTGAAACTATCAAGAAACTTGGTCTATGTTTTAATCAGGGGAAAGTATCTTCCAGGTCCTGTGAGAGCTTACTATAAGATTTGTTTATCAGTGACTGCTTCTCTTACAAGTTTATCGGAAGTTCTTCTTCAAGACTTATATTGGGGAAAGTGCACCAGGCATACAACAACAACATGGCATTTTATATTAGTCATTGAGTTTAGAGTCATCTTCTTCAGTAATCCCTGAGAAGCTCTACAGTCCTTCATCTAAAGATATCTTTGTTCATTATATTTCACAGATGTGATAGAAGTTTGTTCAAAGTATCTTCTGATTTCAGGCT